CGGAAGGACTTGAACCTCCTGAGGCAAGACGAAGAGGAACAGAAATCGAGACTATCACGAGACTTGAGCTTTATCTAATTTTTTTTTAACTTACGAAGATTTAAAGCAAGCCTGCAAAATATTAACATAAGCAATGGTTTGTCGTGTTGTGTTCTACTTTCTCAAAAAAGCACCTAGTCTGTGTAGAAAAACTTGGGTCTTAGGAGGCTGGGCAGTGCCAGCCTGGCTGGGCACCGGGCACAGGTTACTTAGCTGCTTTTTGCAAAGCAGGATCACAGTTGTGACTGAGGGACGCAGTGAACCGTTCCTACCCCGAGGGCAGGGGCCGGGCCACGAGGCCTGGGAAGGGAGAGCTGAGTCCGCTGGACCGGCTCCGGGCAACCCCGGCCCGGCTGAGAGGAAGGGACGGCGCGACACCGCCCTCAGCCGGCCGTGGGCAGCCTCACGCCCAAGGAAAGTGCGAAAACCCAACCCGACAGCACACGTGAGAGTTGGCCACTGACACTTAACGTTTAGAAACCATTCCTTCCTTTTAAATGGCCGTGTTGATGCTGTGCTCATTGCAGCCGGCCGCGACAAGGCGGTGACTACAGCAGAGGAGACCGCGCAGCAGCAGCCTAAGGCGCCAGGCGGAGACGCTTATCTGGAGGCGGGGTTTCCGGAGTGCGGGCGCCTGAGTCATCTTAACAGGCTCAGGGTAGAACAGCGAGCAGCCCGGCGGTAGCGTGGCCGAGTGGTCTAAGGCGCTGGATTTAGGCTCCAGTCATTTCGATGGCGTGGGTTCGAATCCCACCGCTGCCACACCCGTATGGTTTCACTTTTCCAAATCTCTAACTTCTTGCTCCGTTCCTCTATTTTCCCCTTGAGGATTTTCTTTCTTCTCTCTCTCTCTCTCTCTCTCTCTCTCTCTCTCTCTCTCTCTCTTTCTCTCTCTCTTTTTTATTGAAAAAGAGGAAGAAACTGCAAAGCAAGCCTTCTCACTCCCTAGCTCAGTACACAGACCTCTCACGGACCAATTTCATCTCTTTAGAAGAGCAAAGGAACTAACACTGCTCCCCCTTTTCCAGAGGACTACAACTGAGTCACTGTTGAAAACTTCCCAACAGGATGCCTGGGTCTTTAATTTAATGCTTCCCGGCTTGAGGCCAAAGGGAGTGGACCTCTGTCTCTGGATAACACAAGTTAGGGATGGAGTGTGGATGACTGAGTTAGGGAAAGTCCCTTGTGGAGGTGCCTCGGGGGCTCTGGCTGATACCCCTAAAGCCTCTGTTGGTCGAGTAATGTCAGGTGATTGTGCAGAGGCTGGGATCCTGCCCCCATAGGGACGTCCACCTTAAGGTCTCAGCTTTTTTGATTCACTACTTGTTCTTCAGACTGGGTTTAAAGGCTATTTATTTATTTATTCACTTGTTCCACAGCTATTTATGAAGAACTAACTATGGGCCAGAGACCCAGCTGATCCTTAAACTACTCAACAGGCAGGCACAGGGTCCAGCCCACTGTGTGTGCAGACTTTGCAGTTTCTTTAGTTCCATCCAGGAGGTCGCACAGCAGCATTCTAATGTGGTCCACCGGAAGCCAGCAAGTAACATTTAGCTGAACCAGAAACTGAGAGACTAGCAGTGAAGGCAGGAAGAGGGGATTTTCTAGAAGAGAGAATCCTGAGCACCTGGGGAATTGGAGATGCAGTGGAGGCAATTTAAGGCCGCTGGGCAGACAAGTGGAGGAATGCAAAGAGCTGAAAAGGTAGACACTGCCTGGAATCCCCAGCACTGCAAAGAAAAAGCAAAACAAAACCGGTAGGTAGGGCACCAGGAATGTTGACTTACGACTTTGAACTCATCCTGAGAGTGTGTAAAGACACTGAAGGGATTCAAGCTGGAGAGTGGCGTGTCGCAGTTTGGGGTGTAGAAAGATCCCTGACAAGAAGTCCCAGTCAAAGCTTACTGCAGCTGTCTGGGAGAAAGGACTGCGCCTGTATCCTGGTCCTGGCTGTGTGTAGGACCGGAGGGGTGGGCCAAACAGACCAGCTGAGGGCAGACCTGACAGAAAGCATGGGCGAGTATGCCGGGAAGAGAGGAGCACATCCACAGTGACGCCCAAGGGAAGGCTTGGGCCACTGGGTGGCTGGTGCTGCCCTCTCATCTCCCCGAGATGGAACAAAGGACACAGAATAGGTTTTAGAAGAGAGGATTGAGTTCAGTTTGATTCCACCTGTGGGTCATGGAGTTGAGCAGGAGACTGGAGATCACAGAGCACTCTGAGCAGACCACACAGATTTGAGAGGTGCGTAGACTGAAGCCATGGGATTCACCTCAGAAACTGTTCAGAGGAGGAGAGAGGCTGACAGTCCTGAGAATGTAATCTTAAGGGGAGGGCGGGGGAAGAGAAGCCAGTGTAGGAGGCAGGAAAGGAGAAGCTGGAGACCATGCGGGACATGAGAGGCGTCACAGAGAGCAAGAATGCTGCAAGGAGAAGGGAGCCAACTGTCGGGTAACGCTAAGCACTTAACAAGATGCATACTGTACACAATGAAAGATGCCCACTGGCGCCCTTGATTAAAGCCACGCTCAAATGAGTCGATGAAATGGCAACATAACTGTGAATAAGTTGGGCCAGGATGTAGCTGAGCAGTGCCGTGCCCATCTGCCAAGTGCAAGGTCCTGAGTTTGATTCCTGGTACTAAATAAATAAAAGTATGAATAGCTTGTCACAAAGGGGAGGGGATATAGCAACAGACACAGTAGCAGAAGAGGGAATGGGAGTAGAGGGAGGACATATACATGCACTTTTCTTTTTGAGATGCTGGAAATTGAGCCAGGGCCTCACACATGCTAGGCAAGCATTCTATCACTGAGCTACAACCCAGTCCTAGAGAGAACAGTTTTAAAATGAAAGAGGCTTGATGTTTTAGATGCCCAGCTTTGGGTCTACAATTGGGAACGGCTTCTGTGCCCACAATGGAAAGCTTATGTTTGTCTTGGCACTCGACTCGATGTCGTCGCAGGCTGCCCACCATGACTCTATCTCCCTTTCCCCTGGGCAGAGACAGAGGAAGCTTTCTTGGTGCAGTGTGGTCTATGTGGTGCCCATGCTCAGAGTGAATGTTCTCACCTTCAGAGCCTCAGGGAAGAGATGACTTGGAGAAGTCCAGAAAAACAAAGAAATTGATGCTTGGCTTTGGCTTTCAAAAGGTGAGTTTGGGCAGTAGACAAAAGATCTAGATGAAGCTGGGCATGGTGGTATAAGATCTAGATGATCTCAGCACCTAGGAGGCTGAGGCAGGAGGATCCCTGAGTTCTAGGTCAGTGAGTTCAAGGTCATTCTGAACTACATAGCAAGGCCTTGTCTCAAAAAAAAAAAAAAAGTATATGTAGATGATAATGTGAATAGTGTGAGCCTGTTTTTCCTGTCCTAAGAACAGATTTCTCAAGATGGGTAGCAAGAAGAAGTTCTGAAAGGGATGAGAGGATGTTTAGATGCAAACATGTTACTAAGAAAAAAGAGTTCAAGGACTGCCAACCTCAGATGGTCCTAGGTTTGTGGATTTGAGAGAATGAGATACATCCCAGAGTTCAACCCGAGGCCCTGGTGTGGCCAAGAGAGCAGAAGACTAGAAATAATCATGTGTGATGTCTTGGCCCAGCTTCTCCAATTTATCCCTGCTTCAGAGCAATAACCCCATCCCACCTGCTGTTTGAAGTTAGACACAACCCGTTTTCTCATCAGTGAAGTGACAATAATAAATCCTATTGTAAGGGGGACCCCAAGACTCAAGTAAGATCAAATAGATGAAACCCTTGCAAGCTGTCAAGTATTACACATATAAAAGATTGTTGTTGATCTTATCACATATAGACATAGAATTTCACCCAGCAGAGAGAGGCACACATTGCTTTCTGCTCCTGCACAAACTGTGTTCCCTTTTCACCAGAGAGGCACACGCCCTGCGATGGCTACCAGGGTTCTTAGTGCCTTTCTTCCTCTCCACTACAGGCCTGTGATCATTTTCTTTTCAGCCAATTACCCGTGTGCACGGTATGATACAGACATAAGCCTATTATACACGGCTACCTTGGTGCCCACAGTTGACGCCAAGACGGGAAGTGTGGCTCCAGAGGAGGGCAGGGCTGGATGAAGAGATTCTGTGGTCCTTAAAGGTAACTGATCACTCCTTACCCCGCATAACAACTAGAAACAATCCCACATCACAAAACATGACCCGTAAACTCCCTCTTCCCAACTGTAACTGTAGTGGTGCTTTTTGGAGACATCTAATTCTTTACAAAGTTTCTTTTTTCATCCTCTCTAGTGCTGAAGCCTGCGTATACTAGGCTGCGTAATCTCCAAAATCATAAACCAGGGACCCTAAAAGACCAAGCTGGGTTGGGCAGAAGCCTGAGTCTCTGATGTTTCTTCAAGCTGCAGCTGTCAACAGAGGTGTACGTCTGAATGAGTGAATCCACAATATTAGCATGCGTGCGGATCAAACGCCAAGTTACTGATGTGAGTTTAACTCAAGATTCCGACAGGACCCCAGGACACGCCCAGAGAAGCCACGGCAGCAGCGAGAAGGATCCACTTTTCCCAGAGGCAGGAGCAGAGGGCACAAAACCCTGGCAACCTCATATAACTAAGTCCTTGACTGCCAAGGCCAGGGACCCCCCCAAGGGGCGGGGCGGGAAGGGGAGTGGGCGTGGCCAGGGCCGAATAAAAAGCGACAGGGAAGGGCCTGGACAGACCCAGCAGCAAAAGAAATCTAGGGAGGCTCAAGAGCAGGGCAGGAAGGGGGCGGAACCATAGCAGGGGCGAATCTAGGGGAGGGGCGGGGCTACGCAGAGGCGGGGAGAAGGCCTGAAAGGCGGAGCGTGCTCTGAGGCCGCCACCTCATTAGAAACCAGGCCGGCAGGGGGCGGGGCAGGAGGCGCGGCCAGGACCCGGCGGC